GCACTATCTGCCCCGTGCAATGGCAAATTGAAAACTCTTAATGTCGTTTGTGATTCGATCGCAGCACCTCGTTAGTTCGAGCCCGGGGCGAAAAAGGAAAGCAGTTGGCATAACTGATAATTTGATTATTTTATGCAGCGGGATGCTGCGTGCATGTGTGTGTGTGTGTGTGTGTGGGCGGTGTTTCCCCTGCTCACACACACATGCGTCCTGAGTGTGTGGGTGGGCCAATCATCAGCTTAGATGTCCATTTTTGCCGTTTGTTGCCTTGGGCGCCATAGACATGTGTGTGTGTATGTGGGTGTATATGTAAGCAGCCATTTCCCTTTCCCAAGTGTGTGTGTGTGCGGGGGTGTTTGTCTGTGTGATGCGCTGCATTGCTCGAACGAAAATTGTTGCCAAAGTCACTTTTGCTGTAGTAATTTCATAAATTGCGTAATTGCATTGAGGAAAGATGAAACGGGAGTATTGAAGGATTCACTGAGAAGAAAAGTGGTTGCTTCGTGCTTGGGTTCATACCTCCTCCTCCAAATTAGGAATTCTAATTTGTGTAGGTTATAAGCCATAATTTTTTGCTCTTCTATATTCGATTTGGTTTTAGGATATACTAAAACGGATTCATCAAAAGTATTGAATGTGGATTTTTATATAGAAAAGAAAATGCATTGAAAACCCACGTATGTAAAACATTTTGTAGCATACTTTTAGGCACCCAAATTGGTGCATTCATCATTATTCTTGTAAAATAAACATATGCCTTTGTGAAATCAATTTAATTGATACAGAGAATCAAATATGTATGCATCGCAAGTCAGAAGGGCCAAGCACACATTTCTCTTGGTTATTGCCTAAAACCCAGACCACAACCAGAGCCCAGCCAACCGCAATGAAAGTGGCTTTTGTTACCGAAATGGTTTCCATATCGAGTGCAGTATAGTATTTACTATACATATACTTGAGTTATCACCGATACCGTATGCAAACGTAAATTTGCTTGGCTTTTTGACTACGTGGTCATTGGTCTACGTGCCAATCCAATTTCCCCGGCACATTGACTGTGGCTTTTCCTCGGCATTGACTCCCCGGCACGCTCTCAATTCGAATTTCGAATTGAAAAAAGCACCCACTCAGGGGAAAACAATTGGGGTGCCTGCACCTGAAGCTGGGTTTTCCGGAATGGCAGACAACTTTTCAGCTTACATAAGTGGCAGTGCGGAGTCGTAAATCGTGGCAAATCGAGGTCCTCGGACCACCTAGCCAAATAAATTGATCAAAAATCACGCAGCAAATTGCTTTAAAATGTGCAAGGGCAGGCAATTTTTTTCGGGGAGCAGCTCTACTTAAGATAAAGAGGAAAAACCACAAGGAACAATTGGGAAAGCATAAAGAAATGAGAGGGGAAAATTCAGTGTGGACAGGGCCAATGAAATGCCAATTAAATTGATTTGAAACTCAACGTTTTTCGGGTAGGTATATATTAATGAGCTATATGGAAATTTATTTTCGTTGATTGATTGACGGATTGATTGGCGAAGAGAGAGAGAGAGAGGGGAGAGGTAGAAACCAATTCATTAGCATAAATTACCGCCAGAAATTACATTTAAGCGCAAAACTTAAATGTTCTTTCAATTCTAATTTCTAATACTTTGAAATTTGTTCATTAAAATACATTTAAGAAAGACCTAATATGGTAACAATTAAATGCAAGCTAAGTTGCTGCCTGTTTAAGATTGTGCCATCTTAAGCAATGAAAAGATACACACTAGAACAAAGTTTGCAATCAGCTTACTGCAAATACAAGATGCTGCGCCTTGGAATCGCAAACAAACAAGGACTCAGGACATAAAGACACAGATACAAATAAAGGATATAAAATGGGTGGAGGAGAGGACATCCTGTTGCACTTGGCCCATTTGATTGATGACTCTGGCACTTGAGTGCACACGATAATCATTTATAAGGCGCATAAATGTTCTATTCTTTGCCAGGAAAAACTGGGAAAACCGAAGGAGGAAAATGAGGAAAAATGGGGAGGTCCCAGGGTGGCTGCTTTAGCCCCCGGCAGATGGCGTCTGCTGCAGAAAAAGCAGCCAAAGATGAAGGGAATCTCAGATTCAAATTCACATGGCAGATATGCTGAGGTCGTTGGTATTTCGGGAGGTATTTGGAGGGTTTTTTTGGGCAGCTCGGTCTCGTCACGTCAGCTGCAGAGTCTGACAGCCACTGCACGAAATTTGCATTCGAACCGAGCCGTGTATCTGGGCAACTCTGTATCTGACAGATTGCCAGCCGGCACACTTCTTGTCGAGGATGAGAAATGACTCCCGCCCGACTCCTCGCTCTTCTCAGACTTTCTTGCAGGGGCCGAGATTAATTATCTCCCCGCTCGCAATACGGTTACTCCAACTTTCAACTAATTGCCCAAGTTAGAGCTAAGTTTGTCATCATTTAGAAGCTTCGAATGAATCTCGACGGGGGAGTCAAGCAATTTTAGCATATGGCCACGATTCAAGCTTTCATTTTCTTTCGTTGGGAAATACCTCTAATAGTTATTATTGATAATATTTTCAAGATTGGTAAATTCTCAGGAAGTGACTTTGATAACTTTATTTTGCTGTTACTCTTTTATTCCGATACTTGAAGTTATTAAACGTCATAGAGAATGTGGCGACCAGAACACCCCTAATTGGCCCACATGCTGCTCCTTCCACACCGTTCCCCATTATCCTTTCGCCAAAGCAAACAAAAACTCGCTGATGCTGCAGCTGCCAATTACAGCGACTGCTTTTCTAATTAGACGCACCCACATTTTCCAATACCAATTCTCTGCTTCTCTCTTCCAAAACATTGGAAAATCGAGGAAAACCTAGTCATGTGCATGAGTCGTAGGCGAGAAGTTGCACTAAATAATTCGCATTTAGCAATGTGCAATTGAATATCACATGAATATCTAATTTAAAAAAAGTCGAAGTTCTCATTAGGGGATTTTTTACGACTTTCAGAAAGATAACGAAAAAACGGGTAAGTTTACTTTTGAAGAAGTTTGCCTAGAGGATATACTTCTTGAAATTTTCAATGGGAATTCGATTTTTCATCATAACCAAATATTACATCTTTAAATAAAGTATAATAAAAAAAGGCTGACAGATCAAAAATATTCGACTCAACGAAAATATGCAAAAGGCCACCAAAAACTCACATTTCTTGAAATGAAAATCCGCTCTCTAGAGAATTTTCTTGGCTTTTTTCCCGCACATTTTCCTGGTCAGTTGATTCACCTTTTACTGATGAGCGCAAATCTAAAATTGGTATTTTTATAAATCGTGTAAACAAAAGTGGCCCTGGAAATCGTATGACTATTTGTCACGCTCGAAATGGAAACTGCAGCTTATCGGTTAAATTGCTCAAGTGCAGTTCGTTTGAGGCGGCATTAGATAGCGTGGAAAACCCGCCTTCACTGCATTCCCGATTCTCAGTTCTTGTGTCCACTATGCACTCGTCATTTCCGGTTTCCGTCGAATAGAATTCTCTATCGCCCTCAGAATTTTCCGTTCTTCATCCAAATACATCTTTGGATGTATCTGAATCTCAGTCAGTGGCGGCGATTGTGCAAGATACTTTGGTTTAGCGGCGGGGGGGAAGGGGGATGGGCCACCCATGCACCCATCATTTGCTAAATGGGTAATGGAAACCATCTCCCTGAATATGACTCAATTAATAAAACTCAATTTGATGTCGGGCCGGAATGTTTCGACTTCTACCCTACAAAAATGTCTGTTAACATTGATTTACAATTAAATATTTGTTTGTGTTATTGCTATTTCAAAGACTTAATTGCACGACCAGGTTTTGAAATGAAGTAATTTATTAAAATATATGTTGATATATTTTCATAATCTAATATTTGGGAAGAGTATTTAGAAATCACCACAGCAACCTGAATGTTACCTTGAAATTGTTTGTGTGTTTTGGTATTCTCTTTGGTGTGATGTGTGATTTGCATTTTGCGATGTGAATCACGCTGAAATTGCATTTGATTTTGGGAGGGCCGTATTTGCATTTCAGTTTTGGGCGAGGATTTATGTGTTTAGTTACTTAATCAATTAGACTGCTGCCGCAATAACAATAAAGATTAACATTTTGGACAGAGACAGATTCGAATTGAGTTTCAAGAGAATAGATTGGGATGAGCTATTGCCGCATTATAGATTTATCAGTTTGAACGGAAACAAAATACAAAACTTATTGATGCTGGCAGGCAGTTAGAGATGGAAAATCGAAGGCACAGTGGGCGAGATTAGTACGATCGTCATTTATAAAATAGGAAAATAAAGCTTCTGCTAGAAAAATATCATACAAATAAAAAAAATTGGCTTTCCCGCCTAGCCGTCACTTTCGTTAATAATTATATGTCTAGTATGTCCCTGGTCGTCAGTGAGTCATTCTGTTTGATTCACCCCTTAACACCCCCTGACCAAAATTAGTATAATGTAACGAAGGAAAGTAGCTCACGCATACACGCCCCACTCAAATTAACTTAATTTGGACTACAGACAGGTAAGGTCCATAGTAATTGTGCCAAAAAAAGGGTATCTTCATATTGTCCATTCGAAATGCATACAAAATAAATAGGCAATGCACATGTATATACCATCAATCTTTGAAACGTATTCCAAACCAAAAATTTATTATTTATTTATTTAGACAGTTCTGAGCATAAAATTTTTTTTATATTTAATTTACAAAAAACACGAATCAACATTACTTAAAAAAGATCCCAGACTCAATAACTGTATCTGTAATTAAACACTATTAATTATTTAATAATATAATATATAGTTTGAGTTGCTTACCACTGATTTAGCCAGTTTCGTCCCACTGTGCCATGTGTTGCTCGCTCTCTCAGTTTCAGTCACGCTCTCGCATTTTCTTGTTGTTTTATTCGACGATGGGAGAATTCTGAGTGTTTGCGAGCAGTTTTATTAGTTGTATTTCAGTGGCGTTCTGTGCGTGCTGCAGAGCGCAATGTGAATTAGTCAGCAGCGCTATATTTTCGCTCGATTCTGTGGCACCAGCTGGATTATCTGGAATATCTGGATCTGAATCTGCATCTGCATCTGCATCTGAACCTGTATCTGCCGCGATGTCGGGCCCTCAGGACTACGATCGCAAGTACCTGCGTAGCATGCCGGGCCTGTGCAAAATGGCCTGTTTGGTAATTAGCCGTAAACGTCGACTGCCGATTTCCCCTACTGACTTTTCCACATGCCCCCAATCCGAACAGCTGTGCAGCTTCATTGGATTCCTGTGCATCGTCTGCGGACCGGTGCGCGTGAGCAATTTCCGTGGCAGCTTCTATCTGGCCGTGGCATCCATAGGTTTCGTGACCACCGCGGCCCTGCTCCTGGCGAGGTACCTCCGCATGTGGCAGCGCCAGTTCAGCCGGTGCGATCCCACGCTCTGGTCCCTCGCCGTCCACTCCTCCCTGGCCCTGGCCTACTTCGCGGCCTCGGGACTCGTCCTGTCCCTGGACATCGGGGCCTACACGGCGGCGGCGGTGAGTCCAAGCAGGTTCACAGCAGAATGGCCAGCAAATCCCACCGAAAACGGGCGGAATTTGGGGGGTTTTGGCCAGAAAGGAGCTAGCATATCTTAAGTTTTCCAATTGAACAGCACGCTCTGAACAGCATTTAAGTCACTTAGCCAAGCAATATGATTCGTTTAGCTATTTATGAAAGTACGCAGAGATTTTGTGTTAATTGTGCTGTTATGCGTATCTAGTATTACACTTTTTGATTTTAAAACCATTTCGTATAATATTTAATGTTGAAGTATATTGGTCTGAGGTCTATTTTCTATAAATATAATAGCTCTCATCTGAAGAAACTAACATTAAATTCAAAATTCAAGGCTTAAAATATTTCTTGAATGGTGATTTTTAAAATACTACCTTCACTTCAACATCGTATTGTTATATTTTTAATGATTAATGTTCACACAAAATCTTAAAAACTATATGTAAATGCCTAGAAAGTTTATTTAACTGAAATGAGAACCAAGCCAATTCGTTTAGCCATTTAGGTTGGAACTCAGCACAATGTTCCCGTTAAATCTTTTAAGAATCGGGTAGGACGTACGGTTTGTTTACTGTTCTTATAGTCTGATTCATCCACTTGTTGTGCTGGCCTCGATGGGGCCTCTTTCCAGACAAGGCTAATACCCCATCCCCCTCTCTTTTCCAGTTCTTCGGCCTGACAGCATTTAGCATCAACGGATTGGAGGCCTATGGAAACTACAGGCGCAGTCGCCAAAGGGAGGTGGCCACCCAGACGATATAGACTTGGATTCAGGTGCACAAGCCCAGCTTTTTTTTTTTTGTGAATTCTGCTACGTTTAGCTGACTACTCGACTGTGGTGTGAGTGTGTGTATCTGTGAGTGAGAGCGGGAGTATCTGTGTGAGCACGAGTGAATTTGTGTGCGTGAGAGCGAGTATCGTTTGCATTAAACTTCAAACACTAAACATTACTTTAAAGACTGCTGGTTAAGAGCTAAAGGCGGAAAATGTGCAAAGCTTTTGTCGGTTGGATGTGTTATCTAATAGTCGCTAGATATAGGTCAAAAAGTGAAGAAGATAAAGTCAGTCGATCGAGAACAAACACACATACAAACAGAGAGAAGTACCAGAGAGAAGCCTCTAAAAAGAGAGCAAACGCCAAAGAGATTTTGATTGTGCTTTTTCCTCTTCCCCAGATAACTGGTTAACAAAGCGTGAATATATGTATTTATATATGTATACATATCTGTACACATTTTGTTTGTACCTTAGTTATGTAATATTTGTGTGTCACAAGTAAACATATATTAATAGTTAGCTTGTAAACAAACCTGCAGCACATTGCTTTTGTGAAACAATTTTATAACCTCTGAATTGTTATGTTTATAATTATACATTACTATTTGAAAAGCCAATAAATGGAAGATATATAGATGTGAAGCTGAAATTGTGTTACTTAATTTATTATTTACCGAACAACCTTTTTGGTAACATTTTTGACAACTTTATTAAAAAGTTAGTACTGAAAGTTAAGTTGCATTTTTTCCGGATTTTGACTATCAAAAAAATGTTTTTAAAACACATTTTTGAAGGGTTTTTTTGTTGTAGGTTTGCCAAAATAAGACGCACAGCGAAAAGAATGACTGTTCTGTGTAGCTGATAGCCTATACAATCGATTCCAGAAGGTTTTAGTAAACTTCATTTTTTGACCGATTTTCGCATTTTTGATAAGGGGTAACACTTGATTTTTTACCAAATATGGCCGAAAATAAAATTTTTGAGCTGAGTATACCAATCGATTGGAAATTTTGTAACGAATTCAACGAGGTATGACATTCCAAGATCTGACCATTATTTCCAAGGGTTTTGATTAAAAAACTGAAAAAACGAGCTGTTTTTTTCTGGATTTTGGCCATCAAAAACATGAATTTAAAACACATTTTTTAAGGGTTTTTTGTTGTAGCTTGCCAAAATAAGACCCACAGTGAAAAGAATGACTGTTTTGTGTTGCTGACAACCTACACAATCGATTCCAGGAGGTTATAGTAAATTTCATTTTTTGACTGATTTTCGCATTTTGACACTTGATTTTTTACCAAATATGGCCCAAAATAAATTTTTTGAGCTGAGTATACCAATCGATTGGAAATTTTGTAGCGAATTCAACGAGGTATGACATTCCAAGATGTGATCATTATTTCCAAGGGTTTTGATCAAAAAACACGAAAAATCTAGCTAATTTTGTACCGGATTTTGCCTAAAATATTTTTTCTAAGATCACTCGATAAATATTTGTTACTTGAAAAATACCGAGCACTTTAAAAATATGTATTGACACAGCCTTACAATTTAAAAGTAATTGATACAGTAGTTTTGTCACACTGGGTGTGCCCCTTAAAGACGTGAACTCTAAATATTATTCCCATCGATTGTCAACAAACAGTTTTTCACTTAGCAGAGCCGTGTAGAGTTTCGGTAACCTCCGCTTCATGGCAATGATATCGCCAGCTTGCACCTGCAAATAAAGTCGGGGACTCCCCAGAACCTTTGTTTACCTTATCCGCATTAAAACCGAGAATAAACAGGTATCCTGTGGAGCCTTCTTATCTGTTCTGCTGCTGTTTTTGTTTTGGTTTCTGTTGCCATTGTTGGTTTTTCAAATCTTTATTCACCCACCGCCCACCACCACCCACACCCATAAATATACACTCACCTTGGGCGTTTTTCTCTCGCCTCGGCCTTTGTTGCTATTTTCCCCGCAAAGCCGCCTCATTATTATTACTTTTGTTGCCTGTTTGATGAAGTTTTCGCCCCGATTCTTGTCTATTTCTGGCACGATTTATTCATAGTTAGTTGTTCAACGAGCATAAGCAAATTTGCAGTCAACGCTAAACAATGTAATGAAGGGCGCCATATATTCATGCGTCTTATGCCTATTAGCGCTTAAACAAAAAGCATTAAATAAGTGATAAATATTTATAAATTGGACAAAAGCACAATCGTTCCCCCCATTCTCTTGCAAGAGCATAGGGCAACCCTGAAAGTGCAGGGTTGTCATGCGATCGTGACCTTGTGAACTTATTGGCTGTTTGCACGGAAAAAATTAAATAGAGAAAAACTTTCATACGGACTTTGATAATGGTTTAAAAACAAAGTAAGACACTTTATTTTTTGTATAACCGATTTATTTAATTTACACTGAAGAAATAACCAACTATTCTTTTTCCTTTATTTTCTCTTTCATATTTAGAAAGGCTTTTACATCCTTCGAGATTTCTGTATTGCTCCTGCAGTTTCTGGTTTCATATTAATATGTCGCATTAGTGCCAATATAGTTATATTATTTTTTGCGGTGCCTCCCTCGCCCTTTTAGCTAAATGGTCATTTAATTATTTCTCTGCCGGCAGCTCTTAGCACTTCCCATACATAATGTGCCATAATTTCTGCCCCTCCATCGACCTTCTCGGCCATGCAAGTCACGTAAAGTGAAATTAATTAGTCTTGTTTGCCAGTTAGTCAGCCTCCTTTCAGGATGGAAAAGCGGTAGAGTGGGCACAGGGTCAATCCTTGAGTGATTGAAATGCAATCGTGTGGACGGAGTTCATATTGAGTTTGTGGCAAATTTGTGGGTCTGCACTTCCTGCCAGCGCATAATGTAGGAGGAAAGCTATTTTTAAAAGGTTACTTTCGCGCAGTTCAATTGGAAAAGTGCCATGGCAATCCGAGTCCTGGTTCATAATTCTTTCCTGGCCTAATTAGCTGTCGACAGATCTGCGATAAAACATCAATGGGCGGCAAATGAATGAAGTCTTCAAGGGCCATAATAACCACAGGGTCTGATGATAACTTTTGGCCAAAATATAATTTGTAATTAAGTGGGGGAAAAGGTGGCCCGTCCTTAATTAATGAAATCATTTTCAAATCAAACGCGCATTTAATCAAAGTCAGTCCGCCGTTCCTCGTGCAATTTATCTGACTTGGTCTGACACTTAAAAAAATGTATTCAGTTGAATTGGCAGAAAATAAAAGAATAAAAAATTAAACAAATATTCTTATGTTAATAAGTGTTTTGTAATTCTTTTGTTTATTTTGGATTTAAACCTTGGAAGTTTTACTAGATTAATACAAAACTACATAAAAGTTACTTTGTTTAACAACAAATTCTAAAAATTGTAGAGCTTGAATGAACTTTATTTATATATTTAAGAAACAAAAGTGTCTTTGTTTAAAAACGTGTTGAGGTTTAGGTATAAAATTATATGTACATAGAAGGCTCTTGTAGCAAATACACTTTTTATATTTTTCTTTAGTGTTCGGCGGCATTTCCATCCAATCCATTCTATTGGGTCTAAATGTTGCGGTGGCCAAATGACGCGTTGAAATGCGGGCCTAGCCCCCCTTTCCGCTCCTTTTCGTCGCCCTTTTGACCCACTTTTGATCCCCTTTCGCCAGCACCCTTAACCACAGCTATGCAAACGCTTTGGGATGCTAATGCGGCCAAAATAAATGATGGCACGAAGGCTTCTTTGGCCATTTTCTTGCAGCCTTCATCTTTCATCGGCTGTTGCCGTTTTTTCCGTTTTCAACTTGCTGCTTTCCGTCTCTGGCATTACTTTTAATTTTCGGCTTCCGCATTTCATTTTTCGAGCGTCTTGGAGTGTCGCACATTCTTTGTCCTTGGCCTTCCTACAGCGACTAATTTGGGCCAATTTCTGGGCCCATTTTAAATTCAAAATTAGTTTATTTAAATGACTGAATACGCCTTCAAGCATCAGGGCATTTATTTGGAAATTCTATTGAGTTAGTAGAAGATCAATTGCAAATGCTGGTATGCAAACATTAATAATCCTAATAAAGATCATCAGCAAGATTATTAAACTGCGATACAAACTTAAAACTAATAAAACTTAAAAAACTGACTGTAAATTGGAATCAGTATTCCATAATTGTTTGCTGTTTTATGAATATGTAATCGTTAGAACAAGCAAGGTGAAATATAAATAATGAAAAAGAGACAAAAAGGTTTGTCCCTTATCTATTTGGCACTGAAGGTCTGGTAATCATATTTCAGGGGTTTGAATAAATACCGCTTTATCAGGCCTGGAAGAATACCACTGCATATAACACATTTTCTAAGTTATAAACTCGCTTTGTTACATCCCATGCATTTATACATTCGACAATTATGTTACATTCTACACAATCTAACATTCAACAGTTATGTTACATTCTACACATTCATACATTCGACAATTATGTTATTCATACATTGTACAATTATATTACATTCTAGACATTCATACAATCGACAATTATGTTACATTCTACAGTTTCATACGTTAGAAAAATATGTTACATAATACATTCGACAATTATGTTAAACGTGTTTATACATTCCACCATTTTGTTCATTCTACACATTCATACTTTCGACACATATTATACACAATTCACGTAATCTACATTGTACACAGATTCCAGCTGGCTAACGGTTTTTATTTTTTATTTAATAGCTTTGGTCAAAATATCGCCTTGAAATTTGTATATTTTAGAATAATAAATGCTTCAAATAAAAGTCGGGGGATTATTATTCTTTTAAATTTTCTTATATTTATTTCAGCCATTGCTGTTAGCCTATGTTAAATTTTCGTTGGTGCCCAATTTGATAAATAAAATATTTTCACTGGAGAATTTATTAAAAATATTTCGATTTTGTATTTTTACAGCTAAATGCAGCATATGCTTCTGTTTAAAATATTCGAATACAGATCTTATGCTTAAGCCAAGAGTTAATTTACTTAAGTCTAGTAAAAAAAAGGTTCTCTTATTTTTGGTTTGGGTGTTTTTTGGGTTCGTAGCACTTGGCGTTTAAAAATGATGAGTTTTTGGGGCTTCCTTTAGATCTCACCACAGTTTTTCATCGATCCTCCGTTGGCCGTCAACTCCATTTTGACATTCGATTGGGGATTCAGATGGGAGGGGGATATGGAAATGGATTGCGGGGAGTTGTTGTTGTGTTCCTCGTTGAGCTTGAGCATATCACTTGGGTCCTGGATTTGCATCTGGCCTTGGGCAAACCTGCGCACCTGCAGGAAAAGTCCTCCGTTATTCAACAGCCGGGCCTGGTGCTCCTGCGCCTTTGCCCTCAAACAGGCGATGGAGTTGTTCCTGCGAATTCCACCATATTTTATTGTTAATTTGCTTACTTTCAGGAATGCTTATTGTAATTATGAACATAAAAAAACGAATATACATATTTAATATTGTTAACTTGACTCACCTAAAGGCATCGGGATCGTGTTCCATGAGGGCGGCTGCCAAGTGGTGGGCGTGCAACCCAGTTGTTGCCGCCGTCGCCTGAGAATGTTGCTGCTGCTGATGTTGCTGTTGCTGCTGCTGCTGGTGTTGCTGTTGCTGCTGTTGCTGCTGTTGCTGGTGTTGCTGCTGGGCAGCTGCTGCTGCCGCTGCCACGGCGGTGTTCATGATCAAGTGGAAGTCCTTGCTGGAGGCGGCCGCTCCTGCGCCAGCGGCGTTGGCGGCGTCCAGGAGCGGATGGTAGCTGGGCGCGGCACTGCCACTCCCCCCAACCCCACCGCCCATGTAGAGCGGCACCTGTTGCTGCTGCTGCTGCTGCAGTTGCAGTTGCTGCGGCGAGGGGGAACTCAGCTCGATGTGGGGACTGCCGGAGCTGTTGGTGGTGGCCCCGGTGGGCGTGGTCGCCGCCGAGGAGGCCGCCCCCGCGTAGCCACTCGTCGAGGTGGGCGGTGCCGTGGAGGCGGAGGTGGTGCAGCTGCTGGGCGCCGGACTCACCACGTTCAGGGACTCGGTGGAGGAGCTGAGGGCGCGGGACCGGGAGCGGGAGAGGTCCTCCGAGTGGGCGGACTTCGATCCCGCCGAGTCCTCGTGGTCACTCACCCCCGAGTCGTCCTTGAGCGCCGACTGCGCCTCGATCGATTTGCGGTGCATGCCTGTCAGGGGTGAAAAAGTGGGCAACTCAGTGATGTTCCTTGCAAGTTCCCGCTCTTAGGGTAAGAAGACAAATTGGGATTATCTTGAAGCTAATGTCGGTATAATTTGAATTTGGGAGGCTTTAATATACTTTAAAACGCATTTTTAAGGGTTTTTTGTTGTAGCTTTGCCAAAATAAGACGCACAGCTGACAACCTACACAATCGATTCCAGGAGGTTTTAGTAAATTTCATTTTTTGACCGATTTTCGCATTTTTGATAAGGGGTAACACTTGATTTTTTTCCAAATATGGCCCAAAATAAACTTTTTGAGCTGAGTATACCAATCGATTGGAAATTTTGTAACGAATTCAACGAGGTATGACATTCCAAGATCTGGCCATTATTTCCTAGGGTTTTGATTAAAAAACTAAAAAAACGAGCTGTTTTTTTCTGGATTTTGGCCATCAAAAACATGAATTTAAAACACATTTTTGAAGGGTTTTTTTATTGTAGCTTTGCCAAAATAAGACGCACAGCGAAAATAATGACTGTTCTGTATAGCTGACAACCTACACAATCGATTCCAGGAGGTTTTAGTAAATTTCATTTTTTGACCGATTTTCGCATTTTTGGTAAGGGGTAACACTTGATTTTTTTCCAAATATGGCCCAAAATAAACTTTTTGAGCTGAGTATACCAATCGATTGGAAATTTTGTAACGAATTCAACGAGGTATGACATTCCAAGATCTGACCATTATTTCCAAGGGTTTTGATCAAAAAACACGGAAATTCTAGCTGATTTTTTCCCGGATTTTGGCCAAAATATGTTTCCTAAGATCACTCCAAAAAAAATAATTATCTTGAAGCTAATGTCGGTATAATTTGAATCCGAAACAAAAATACCTTAATATTCTGTGTAATATTTTTGCACCTAGTCCTACAATACTTCATCATTGTGCTCCCTAATAGGCACGTCTAAATACATAAATCAAAAGAAATATCCTGTCAAAATAATGGCCTAATACCACAGACACGCATTCGCTGCCCCATCAATTGCCAACTAATTTGACATATCGACTTAATTAAAAACTGAACTATTCCTAAACCGATTCCCCCGGCGAAGGACCCGCTAAGTCCTCGATAAGCCACTTAAGTTCGAGCGAACCTTTGGCCACGGCTACTTGGGAATTAATTATCGAGTCAGCCGGCTCGTGAAATCCGGCGAAGCACCCGGAAGCACCCAAACCACCCAGTTGACACCACCCCCTTTGAAGGGCGTCGCACAATGGAAATAGACAAACGATATATGCCAAATAAAACGGGAATTCAGTGGCGGGCCCTCGTCCTTGTCGCGTGTGCATTTTGCATTTATTAAGCGATTATTAACGAATAAAGGAGCGCAGTCACCCCGAACCAGCGGCACTTGTCCCGGGGACTCCCCTCCAGATAATCCGCAAAGTCATTCCCGGGAAATGTGCGCAACATATGACGGCAGGCGGAAAAGCGTCGTTGGACATGCTCGCCAAATATGCTCGCAATTCTCTGTCTGTTTATAATCCCGAACCGCTGTCCTTTGTGCGGTTCGAAATTTAATTAAACCCATCTTAAGGTCCATTGATATATGTGTATTATAGAGGACCTTTCAGCTTTACAACTGTCTTAAAAAGTTGCTAAATTGCCAATAAAATAAATGAAAATCAATGAATATTGTTGTAAACACAATAAAAACCCTACTGACTTAAAATATAACATAATAATATATTTAATAAAATAAGGCAATACACAGCTATGCCTTATGTTTTCTTTGGGGAAACGGGGTGTGTGGATGGTTAGTTTGGTAGATTCGATATGATTGTTGCATTTACATTTCTGCTCCATACCTAGTAGCCAGGGAGCCACCGCGTCGTTGTCCTTGGCCGACTTGAGGATCGTGTCCGGAAGGGGCAGCGAGTGCCGCACCATGGCCCCGTAGAGTCCGTACTCCGCCATTATCGTACTGCCGCCCCAGACCTTCTCCGTCTTGCGCCACTTGGCCCGACGATTCTGGAACCAGACCTGGAAAATAAAGGTGGCATATCAAAAAGACATTCCCAGTGATTGCACCTCATTTGGATTGCGTTGTTGTGTCTTTTAATTTTCATAAAAAACATTAAGATTCAATTTCCATCGCAAATTTGCAAATTATTTAAATATTGGGCCACATTTCCCTCCGTAAATTCTTCCGCTTAAAGTGCTCTGCCATATGGACGGCGACCTCCTTAGTGGCCAACGGCCATCAAGTTCTTGGAAAATGCCATGCAAATTGCAAATTATTAAATAAAAAACTCGTTCAAATTGAAAAAATGTAAATGGAATGTTTTTTAAATGCTAATACTTGGACCGTAAACCTTTGAGCTGCTTCAAGCACACAAAAACACACATATACAGACTTAAAGTCAACGTTTTGAGACAGGGGCGCGGTGAACATTATTGTGAAAGGGGAAAATGTTGCATAGTTATTTAATAGTCCTAGGATGTAAGCTTTAGTTAGGTGGCCCCCTGAAAGTGAAGCCCCTGGAATCGTTAGCAACATCAATGCGACACCATCGACAACCCACACATAATGCCAAATGATATACATATTCGCATATAAGTGACCAAATTAGATTATCTTCCGAAACATTAAACCGATTCTCTGCCGGCAACAACAACGATAATAATACGAAAACATTAAATGTTGTTCACATAAGGCGAGCGGCAACAACAACTGTCACAATAAAAGGATTTGCCACACAGTCGGGCCAAAGGATTCAACCACCCCCGGAATCAGGACCCTCTGCACTGAAAAAGAAGTCATCATTTTTCTGGTCCATCAAATCGTTTAGTTCTGCTATTAGTCATGTACGCAGAGGGGGTGGGGGATGGTGAGGGGGAAAGCGGGTGAAAGGGGATGGACAGGATACCAAAGATTGCCCAGCAATGCGAAATCGACGAGGACGAAGGAAAAGAACCCGAACTGAAGTGGCTCTTGGAAGCGGCAGAAGGAAAACTTATAATAAAAAAGCAAAATATGCAAAGCAGGAAATGTAGAAATAAAAATCGGGGAGGGGGGCAACAGAGGGTTAAGCGGGGTTGCGAAGGGTGCTAAAAGCTGGCGACATCTCCGCCAGGAATTCGCCGGCCAAGAATCATGCACCGAAAGCCCAAAGACCCAGCCAAATCCCATCCTTAACCCTTACGGATTGAACAAATCGCCACAAACCGCGTGCGCGGGTTAAGTGGGCAACTGGGCAAGTGGGCGTGGCCCTGCTCCAGACAAAAACGCCGTGGCAAACGAAGATAAAGTGGTTTGGCTTCGGGTTCTGTCACCAGTCTTGGTTGCCTACCAGGAGCCCCATAAATCTTGGAAATCCACTTGCCTGGGAAATTGGCAGACCCGAATTGTGAATTCTGACTTCCAAGCAGGATATATTTTATATCTGTGCATATATTTTCCAGGCAGCTACTCAGTACATGTCGTGGCAGCCCAGAACATTTGCAATTTGCCACCGATTTTTTGGCAAAGTGCCGCTCGTCTGGTACAGTAAGTTTCAGCAGTTTAATTTTTTTTTTTGGGTTGAAAGAGTTACGTAATTTTATTGAATGTTAGTAATTCTAGTTAGTGAGTTTCTCTACTATATTTCTAGAAATAAATTAGTATTTATATCCCATTTTTATATTTATTTATTATAGTTATTACATAAGTAAGGCCCTGTAATCGAAATAAGAACTGTGTTTCTTTATGTTATTAAGAATGTAGATATCTGTCAAAACGAACAGATAAATAATATAGTAAATATTCAATTCAAACCGTATTCAAGAGCCTAACTTTCAGGCGAAAGCCCTACACTTCTGATTAGCACTGTGCGAAGTGTGACTTAGCAAGTGATTTAGTTGAATTACTCAGGCGTGTAGCTGCAAATAAATCCGGGCTCTGAAATTACCCTCCACTGTTCTCCGGAGTGCTGCCAACGGATGTCGGATTAATTTCCACACACCCGGATACTTTGCTTTTGGCAAAGAGCAGCCTCCAAAGCTCGGAACCTGGGACTTGGGTACTTGGGTACTTGGGGCCTTGGGGCCTTGGAAATCGGGAATTGGGACCTGGAACCTGGGTCTTGGCCCTTTCTGGCTGCGAAATCAAATTAATCCGGTTTGTTATTTCATCATGCAACGTCAACGTCACCATCATCAGCTGCAACAACAGACAAAGGCTGCTGCAGCAGCAACACCAGCAGCATTTTGCAATAATAAATGGCAACACACACACACACTGCCACACTCTGGTGTAAACAATGCACACACACAGATACGGCTGTATCTGACTCCTCTGCCAAAGGAGCGGAAAATTTCATTAACAAGGCACACAGGCAGCAGCAGCAGCAACAGCAACAGCAGAAGCAGCAACATCGCAAGTACAGCAGCAACATGGAGGCACGGCAGCAACATCAACGTCCGGAGGCCACTGGCTCCTCTGATAATTTAATCAACTCTCATTGAATTATATCATTTTGCAATTTGGAGACCCGGCAACATCAACATCCCATCATCCAGACCCAGATACAGATTCAATCGTCATTATGATACCGGAGTGGCGACCGGAAAAGCGGGGCCGGCAATTTCGGTAGGGCTCTTTGAGTGCGGAAATCAAAGAGGGAAATGCCATAAATTTCCAAAACGGAAATTCGCAGCCAAACCGAAACGAGGGGCCCACAAAAGTGCCCATGGAAAGACCGATGAAAATGGAGTTTTCCAAATCTAAAATGCCCTTGAACATGGATCATTATTAATATATTTTTGAATACCTTGATCAAAATTAGGTTAAAATATTTATTGATTGAAATGTTGAACACTTTCCCTTATTTAAAATAATAAAAATTTTCTATTTTAAAATGAGATATGTAACTTAATTGTTAAATCGAATAGAAAAACATATATTATCCAGATCTTCAAATAACACTATTAAATGCCATTTATTTTCCAGTTAATCAAATCCAAATCGATTAAGTATGGGGATGCCCCAATCACGATTTTAATCAATTGATGCAAACGTACTTAGATTAAACGTGGCCAAAACATAAAACATCCACCAAAAAATCAGGGTGGAGTGGATAATGCCAACCACTTTAATAAAGATAACAGCTTCGACAATCTGCCGCTAAATGATTACTTGACCATTCCGATTCCCATTCCCATTTCAACTTCGATTCCAATACGCTGAGAATCACGACATCAATTTGCTGATTGAAAATTTATTATTATCCTTGGAGGGGCGTGGAAGGGGTGAATAGTTCGAAGGACATTTTTATGGGGCGCAACCGAAGGGGCCACGCCCCCTTGTCCGGTTGGTGGAAATGGCTTTTGATTTATCGAACTATCAACTGGCTGGTCAATCTGAATTGACCGATGATGAGGTCACTGTGAAGGGATTCCTCGTGTGTTTTAAAAACATTTGCTAAAGTGCCATTCGCTTATAATGGAATCAATATAAAAAGTATATATTCAGCAAAAAAAAAAAAACATTTTAAATAATTATTCTACTCCATTGCTTACTCCTTTTCAGTATTGATAATTTCCTATTCTAAAGTTGTACAAACTAATAACCCCGAGGAAGGCAGAGCATCTAGGACATCCGTCTAGGATTTCAGTGGCCCCAGGGACCACGAGAATGCTTAACCCTTTATCATCCGCTTACATTCGCAATTGTCAAAATTCGGCCAGTCGACTGCATTCGCACAAAGGTCACAGGCCTTCTGGCCATTTCCGGCATAATTAAAATATTGGTAACCAATCAAAGATTCTCAATGGGTGAGGATTTCGATTTCCCCATCAAAGGGGATTTTCGGTGGTGGCTGGGTGGCGCGTATTACGGGTTCGGATTGTCGGATTGTGGAATTGTAGGATTGTCGGATTGTGGGTGGCGAATATTTGCTCACTGGGGCTGCAAAATTGCGCAAATTGCATATGCAATGGGTCGCAGGACTCGTCGTCCTTTTCAGGTGACATGTGCACCTGTGCATTCGATTTTGCCCTGCATTCGGGATGGGGATTTGCCTTTGAGTTCGTGAGCGGCCTTTATTGGTTTACTTCATCAACTCGAACGACTGAGTGGTTGGGTGGTTTACGGGTGTTTCCGTGGGTGGTTCAATGGGTGGTTCAGTGGGGCCTTCGGGTGGTGTGAGTACAGCCGAGTGGTTGTGAGTCAGTCAGCCCGGCGGGGCGTGTGGAAATTTCATAACGACAGTCCGCAGTTTATATGCAATATTCAATTGACATTCGCGGAACTCGGTTTTCAAAATCCATCCGTGACAGGGTATGCCAGTTTGTAAGGCAGTTAGAAACTTACAAAAGAAGCTATCATTTTCAAAATATAATACTAGGTTTTCATACTCGAAGCAATAAAGGACTTACAACTTTAAAATATATGTTAAATGTATATTAAACAACATTTTTGGCACAAAACGTGTTTAAAGAAATGTATTTTTCAAAAAATAATCTAACCTAAAAAGTACAATTTTCTTAAGTTAAAATATATGCTCTGTTGAAAATGTTTAACATTTATTGGCAAGAGTATTTGAAGCATCGCTGGAGTTTTTCCTTAGTTTTCCCCCTTTTGTCTTTGCCATCTTCCCATTTTTCCGCTGGAACTTCAATTTCCAACTTTCATATGAGTTTAACGGTCGCGAACTTTTCTTTTTTTGTTTCATTCAGTGAAAGGAAAGGGAAGAGCCTGTGGAAAGAATGGGGCAGGAAAGGGAGCTTTTCAGCTTTCCGGATTAAGAATGTAAATGCGAAATGATTTTTTGGTTTCTTTTTTTTTCGTAAGTCGAGTATTAATTTACGCAAACGGAACTAAAGGCTTGACTTTGGAGTTATTAAGGGGTCGAAAGGGGGAAACCAATAGGAGAACTGCACATGCGAGTCATATTAATGACCTTTACTTGACATTGAGTCTGCAGTGGAATTGCCATTGCCGTTGAACTATTAATTACGTCCAAATGCTGTTTTAAATGCCCGATGATTAATGAACCGTTTTT